TCTTGACTTTGGCAGAGTTGATTGGGTCACACCCAATCATGAACAAACATACAGTATGCTATAAGGAGCCTTGCACCCCTAAGCACACCAACAAATTGGAATGGCAGATTGCCTCTCCCTCCTCTCAGTAACAGCATTTGTGGTTTGAATAGTGTATGAGGTTACCGGTTCTATGGTTTATTGTCAACTGCTGAGAAATGCGAGATGTATTTTTTTAAATTTTTTTTTATATATATTTATATATATAGATATTTACACTTATAAAAAATAAAGAGTGAGGTAGATAAATGTTTGGGAAAAATATTGAAAACTGTCCCCTGTCATTTACAAAAAAAAAAAAAGAAAAAAAAAAAAACATCGCAATACATATTTATATGTGTTGGGGCATTTAACAGTGACCAAAATCAACAAGAACAATAAATAAGAAAAAAAGAAAAAAGAAAGAAATCCTACACAGAATACCTTCTTACATGTAGGGGTTACAGGGTAGGAAAATGTACAAGAGAATATAAGATTCTTCAACATAATAATTCAGGCATTCATTTTTTTTTTTTTTCGTCGTAATGACTAATGATACCATGCCATTATATGACCAAAAAAACCCTTCCACTCCAAAGCAAAAACTTGATCTTACCTAATGGCGAGGAGCAGCAATACCCAAGAACCAGACTGAAACCCTCATATTTCTATAAGGGTGGTCAAAGACATAAGAGGAAGGGGTTGGATGAGCAGGCACAATCTGACCACTCCTAGACATGTTTTGGCCACCACAACGTCAAACAAAACCAAACAGCTTGGCCAAGGGTTCATGTTTATGCCTATGGGGCCTATTAGATGATCTACCTAATACTGGTGATGCAGATTTGTTTTGGTTGAAACAATAGTGATCATACAAAGTACTCCAACCTGCCAGGCCACTATTTCCCTCTAATACTGTCATCCGGTAGAGTCTTCAGGTACTCCAACATGAGATCAACACCTGATCTGGACAAAAATAGCTGAATCAGGAGAGAGGCATCAACCAACCTATGGGAATCCTTAACAACTAGTAAACTGAAGAAGCCATTTTGTGATTAGCTGCTATCTGCACCTAACAATAGCTTGTTGACTGAAGAACTTTGTTAATCATGGCTGGTAATTAGATCCTTTTATTCTCCAAGTGAAACATGGAAGAACATAAGGAGGCATCTGTAATGGGCAAGAGACAAGACAGATCTTCCCTAACAGAAAAAAAAAAATTAAATCAAGCCCACCATGTTATTAAATAAGCCTTATTCAGTTTCATTAAGGTTGAAAAAAATCTTAAGTTTTGGTCTAAATGTTGATTAATGTCAAGTCTTCATAACAGTAGTCAGCAATGAGAAGAAATGGGGATTCAGAAGCGTTTGAAAAATATGGGCAAGGCCTTTGAGTTACAACCTAGGCAGAACAAAATATATGGTTATAGTTTCATTAACTTCCCAATGATAGATATATAATATCTATTACAAAAACTTCAAACTCCTCCGGCAGCCAAATTATTAAAGGCCAACATGCCCATACCTGTTTAAGTTGAAGTGATCCTTCTTTAAATGAAACTTTTTTGCAGACATAAAAAAATATTGACTCATTCTGTATCAGGCATTCTCAACCAGGGTTCCATGGATCCTAGGGTTCCACCAGAGGTTGCTAGGGTTTCCTTGAGCTGTGGCTACTTGACCTTCTGATACTGCCTTCATAGTTTCAGATCCATTGCTACTTGACAGAGCCAGTAGGGTGGCAGGTCCATTGCTACTTGACAGAGCCAGTAGGGTGGCAGGTCCATTGCTACTTGACAGAGCCAGTAGGGTGGTAGGTCCATTGCTACTTGGCAGAACCAGTAGGGTGGCAGGTCCATTGCTACCTGGCAGAGCCAGTAGGGTGGCAGGTCCATTGCTACCTGGCAGAGCCAGTAGGGTGTCAGGTCCATTGCCACTAGGCAGAGCCAGTAGGGTGTCAGGTCCATTGCCACTAGGCAGAGCCAGTAGAGTGACAGGTCCACTGCCACTTGGCAGAGCCAGCAGAGAGTCAGGTCCATTGCCACTTGGCAGAGCCAGTGGTGTCAGGTCCATTGCCACTAGGCAGAGCCAGTAGGGTGTCAGGTCCATTGCCACTAGGCAGAGCCAGTAGAGTGACAGGTCCATTGCCACTAGGCAGAGCCAGTAGAGTGACAGGTCCACTGCCACTTGGCAGAGCCAGCAGAGTGTCAGGTCCATTGCCACTTGGCAGAGCCAGAAGGGTGGTAGGTACATTGTCACTTGACAGAACCAGTAGGGGTTCCAGGTCCATAGTCACTTGGCAGAGCCAGTAATGGTTGGCATTCTAAACACCACTGTAATGGGTCATTCCTTTCACTGACCACCAATGTAAGGGGCAACATATGTTCCTTAATACCCCTAAAGGACTAATCTTAGCTGGGGTTCCCGTACGCCTGAAAATTATTTCAATAGTTCCTCTGGGGTATAAAGGTTGAGAAAGGCTGTTCCATACAGTTAAAATAAATGTCATGTGCGCCATCCTGGCACTCTGGTACAGTAAAACCCTAGTTTACGAATAGCAAGGGTAACCAGATCAGTTTTATAGCCTAATCCAGCCAAATCCTTTAGGTTTAGACATAGTGAGGAAGAGTTAGAACCTCTCACCATTGCTTCTAATAAAGAGATCTGTCACCATGGTACATATGCTCTTCACTTCCTGAGCAATAAATGCAGCATAAGGGATTATGCAAATGCAGAAATCTAGTAACCTGGTATTTTACAAGAGTTTCAAAAAAAAGGGATTGCCGTTGAATTCTTCTCTTATAATGTGTCCGCTTAACATTTCAACATTTGTATGCAGTTGCAAGAAGGCACCACAAGATGGGTTTACTGGACTGTGATAAGATTCATAGAATGCCTTTAGTTTCAAAAGAAATTTGGTCTGTACGACATTTGTCCTTGGGATGGAAGGGTTTTTTTTTTTTTTTTTTTTTTTTTTTTTTCTTCAGGTAGGCTAATGAAAAAATAGCTCCCAAAATAGACATCGAGACTTAAAGCTTGGTGCTGTATCCAAGAATTAAAACCACACACGCGCACACAAAGTACACATACAGGAGAGATAGATGGAAAAACATGCAAGCCATCCTGTAACCACAGCCAAGCGACGGGCTCCGGCTCTGATGCTAGGAAGGGACAAACAGCGTTAATATGAGACTGTGTGATGATTTTTTTTGTTTTTGTTTTTTTTGTCGTTGTTTGTTTTTTGACCTGAGTTATTTGACGCATTGCAACATAACAAAATGATAGCTGTGTGAGGAGATAAAAAAGGGACAATATTTATACACTGGTATCTTGAGATACTTTGTCTGCACCGCCACCCTTCTCTAAACACTTCTTTTTTTTTTTTACACTACTATGAAGCACAAAACAAAAAAAAAAAAAAAAAAAAAAAAAAAAAAAAAAAAAAAAAAAAAAAACACAAATCATGCCACACATAAAAGGCAATAAACAATTAAATGGCTACCTCTACAAGTTCATTCATGGGAGGTGTACAAGGTCAGGAATCATATGACACAATTGGGGGGGGCTTATTCATATAAGTGTAGAAACAGCGCGTCACCTCGCGAGCCATTAAAGTCTCCCATTCCAGCCAATGGAAGCCTCTTGCACATATACTCTTTTTGTGTAGGTGTGTGTAGGTGTGTGTGTGTAAGCCCTAGGGAAACGAGAAGCAAAATTTATAGAACATGAGGAGATGGAAGAGTAGACCTGAAGGTGCTTTTTTTCATTTTTTTTTTTTTTCTATCATAGATTAAATACACAAAAAAGATAAAGAAAAAAATAGCAGCCTTTTCTGTACAGACATAGATGAATATCTGAACCATAAAAAAGTTATAAAAGGGACACAAAATGCGTATGTAAATGACGCTATGACCTCACATTGAACTGTAAGGACCTTCTACAAAAGTCTTAGCAAAGAAAGAAAATCCCACTCTAACCCCTTCCCTCCCCCACCAAAATGATGTACTTGTATATATGAGGCCCGAGATAGTAACTTCAAAGGAGATGCGGAGACAGCTGGCAATTGCAGGTAAGTCTGTTGTTCTAGAACATTCCAGCACGCGATTCCAGAATTCCAATAGGCCAACGCATTTTGTTTTTCTTTACAATAACAAAAAAAAAAAAAAAAAAAAAAGAAAATCTCTGCAAAAGATCTATTTTCATTGCTGACTCTTCTGACGATCCCCTGAAAATGGCGGCTTGATAGCATGCGGTCATTCACGACTTCTTGCTGGGTTCTTCCAGATCATGTTTATAACATATATTACATTGACCTATAATATATGTTATTTCAAGACCGCTTCCGCCTTATCACTCGCCTCAAAAAAAAAAATTAAAAAAAAATCTGTGTATAAGATGATTATTCCATAAAGACGTCCCCATTGGATGAGGAGGAAAAAAAAAACGAAAAAAAAACACAAAAAGGAAAAAAAAAGGTGTGCATGGGCTTTGTGATATGAAAAGTGACTTCATACATCCGTACTGTCCATGCTGTAAAAAAAAAAAAAAGAAAAAAAAAGAAAAAAAAAAATCTATTTGGCAAAGACTGGCAGAATTAAATAGACGTCTGGGTTGCAATATGCTTTACCTTTACTAAATGTGTCTCTTTATATTTTTAATAGTGAGCCAAAAGTGAAAAGTAGTTTGTTTCCATCTGGCCCAAACGATGCAAAAGAAGTGCTTTCAGCCTTGTTGTGTGCAAGAGCAAGTACACACTTACCGTGTCACACAAGCGTAAGTCGGGGCACTGGTCTGACGTACTAGATCCATCCATAAGCAAAGTACACCAGTGCCAACTCAGCCAGGAGGCTGAAGTCAAACAAAAAGACAGAAAGTGGATTAGTGTTTGCACTGATTTTTTGGAGGAAGCCTCCTGTGGGTTATGTCCTACAGGTACACAAGGGGCTGTGTTTCCACAAGTGTCCGTCAGACCACAAGCCTGGATCAGCAGGCTGAGGACTGTGGCAGAGGTAGCGCCCTCTCGTTCTTGCGCCCCCCATTCATATGCGCGTAGGGTTGTCTCTCGTCAAAGCTCGCCCTGAGGACAACTACACCAGGACCATTTTCTGCCTTGTGTCCCACATGATGTTCTGATGTCTGCAAGGTACATGATGGGTCCAATGGAATGCTTTCCATGTTCTCTGCCTCCAGGTCTAGTTCTTCCGTGTCCGGCGGTTTGTTCTCTTCGCTGTAGAAGAAGGACACCTCCCTAAAGTTTGGATCGAGCTCGTCTTTAATGCTGCTGATTATCTCCAGGAACGAGGGTCTCATCTTAGGGTTGTACTGCCAGCACATGCGCATCAACTCGAACCTACGAAAACAAAGACAAATATTACAAGAGATACTCAGATGCAAAAACAATACAATGGGGTTTGTTTACTAAAACGGGAGAGTGCAAAATCTGGTGCATTGAAACCGATCCGCTTCCAGGTTTTATTACCAAAGCTGAAGATAGAAGCTTGCACACCATGCACCACTGCAACCGATTCTGTGCGCACCAGTAGTAAATCTACCCCAGTATGTTCACAATATTCTATGAATTACGTTGACACATTCATATGTGAACAAGAAAAATACTAAAATTTTAAATGAAAGCAAAATCGATAAAATGAACCGGTCCAGGGGGAAATAGAGAGTCCAATAGCCAGTGATTAAATGACGAGGAACCTAGCTGAATCATCTTTCCACCTAAAAGTATGGTATTACTGGCATCTAAACGGACAATCGCTGGGGTGTGAAAAAAAAACAATTCACCTTTTTTTCTTAGGTTGAAAATGATATTGATGCTTTTTTGTGTCACTGAAAAGCTGACTAGTATCCTCACAAACACCAGGTTTCTCAAGGTGTGGGGAGCCAATAATGTGGACACTTTCCACTGAGTGTCTGAGAACTCTGATGAACCCATCCAGGGGGCCACCCTGCACCACGTTCCCCCTTTTCCACTCCTTTCTACCCCACCTATCAACCAATCTTACCCTCCTGTCTTCTCTGCCTCCCCTTTTCTTCCTTTCACTCCTGCCTTCTGCATTTTCATTACCACTCGTTACCAACCCTTGGCTTGTTCCTTGACTACGCCTCTGCTTGATCCCAACCTGCAACCATTCGTTATAGAGCTTTGGCTTGTTTACCAACTATGCTTCTGCTTATCCCTACCTGCTTTATCTGCTACTGAGCCCCAGCTTGCGCACCTCATGGTGGGGTCAGGGGCGGACTGACAACTCATGGGTTCCCCGGGCAATAGGGGATCATGGGGCCCGTGTCTTCCCCCACACTCAAAGCACACCCAAAAAAAGCTTATAAAAATGTACCAGGGGCATTTCATGGGGTCCCCTACTGACCCCGGGCAGTGCCCGAGTACTCGAATGGTCAGTCTGCCCCTGGGTGGGGTGATCCTGAGGTCCTCGACCTGGTACTAACATGCAGCAAAACCCATCCCCACCATAAGGAGCTCTGGTGAACACAGTTTAGTACTTAGACCCAACACCTCAGGTAAGGATGCATTAACTGCCAGTGTGACCTGCTTCTGTACTTACCCAGCTGGTTGATGGGTGCTTCGCTATTGGTACCTGAGCCTGACCCCACACACTGACACTTTTCCTGTTCTTATATTGGTACATCCAGGCGATAGGCCCTTAAAAAATTTCCCACCTCCCACTCCTTCTCAATACCAACCTTGAAAATTTCCCAATCTGGGAATTGATGACAAAACCAAATTCGCAACCAATTTCTGACCCCCTTCCACCCAACTCCTCCCTCCTTTTACTCCTCTCCATAAACCTACCTCTCTCCCCTTTTAATCCTCCCATTTTATCCTTTTCCTAAACTAAACCTAGGAGTGCCAGGTCCCAAGGTGCACCAATTCTTGTACCTCAACGACTGAATTTCCCAGTGCACCCAAATGACAAGACACTGCTCTTTACTTGTATTATCTTGTCTAATGACTCAATGTTTCTGAGATTGGTTGCAAAATCTTTTGTAACTAAAAGAATTTAAATGAACATAAGGTTGCTATCAAAATATATACAGCCTGGGGGGGGGGGGGGGGGGAAGGGGGGCGGAAAAGTCCAATGAATGTTTACAGAAACCTTAAAGAAAAAACAATTCTAGGTGAATCATGAGCAGTATGGATTGTGGTGTCTGGTGTTCAAAAGGACAGATTGACGTCAAGCGCCTGGTGGTCTAATGCATTTTACGGCCCCCAGGTCAAATCCGGTCCTTTGGCTGTTCCTGCCCAGTCCATGTGACCTCAGATATGTGGGAGTGTTGGTTCCCTGGATCCAGGCTGGCCAGTCAACAAGATGGCAGTGGCTGTGCTTCTGCCTTCATTAGTCCACCAGTCGTCAAGATGGTTTTACTTTTGTAGATGGACAGTGTGATGCCACCCCTTAAACCATTGGGGTGGACCACAGTTAAGAAGCACAGCCCACATCCCCACTAGTTGGACCTCACTTCTGCCTTGCTGCGGAAGTGACGTTGCATGCCTGGGATATGTATAACAGTGGAGGCCCTAAACCACAGTCTGATTCTCTCATGTGGCCCCTAGGGAAAATTAATTGCCCACATCTGGTTTAGTGAATTACTTACAGCTTACTTTAAACAGCTGCTCTGCCTCTGTCCTTTAGTAAAGGCCATCTTCTCTTCCCCCTGAATTTTCACAGGCAGATCACAGGAGGACATGAAATCTGTGAGAGCATCCCATCTAAAGGCTAAATGGTTAGCACTTCTGCCTGGCAGTACTCGGGTCGTTGGTTCGAATCCCAGCTATGGCACCACCTGTCTGGAGTTTGCATGTTCTCCCTGTGCCTGCCTGGGTTTCCTCCAGGTACTCTGGTTTCCTCCCACACTCCAAAGACATGCTGGTAGGTTAATTAGATCCTGTCTAAATTGTCCCTAGTATGTGTAGGTATGAATGTGAGTTAGGGACCTTAGATTGTACACCCCTTGAGGGTTAGGGACTGATGTGAATGTACAATATATATGTAAAGCGCTGCGTAAAATTGACGGCGCTATATAAGTACATGTAATAAATAATAAATTTATTGATAAATTTCAGGTAAAAAAAAAAGTTCCGTGACAGTTCCGTGATCTACGTCCAGCATGTTCCCGTCAGCGATCTGTTTTCCTGTAAGTCTGTGCTGCACACAGGATCTCTCCTGTACCCTCCTGGCCCCTTCACGTGGGGTCCACATTGGGGAAACAAGGCTGAGCTGGGAAGCCAGACGTCTGACGTGTACACTGAGCTCTGTCACTTGACGCTCTCCGAGCCATTCCGCACTGACCATGCTTCCAGCTCTTGCCATAAATGGAAGACTTTTTAATCCCCCTCTTCCCCTCCCGTGTGGATTTAATACCTTGTTTACTGAATCTCAAGGAGGAGCTGCCTCCTGCACAGGGGAAAGGAATCATGTGCACACAAGCACACCCGACCCCGGCCTCCTCCCCAACAACACATGCTTGGAGGATGGAGATGGCGTTCACCCTTCTCGTACATTTGTAAAAAAAAAAAAAAAGGACGGAAGATGAAATGTGCTGCTAAGGAGATGAAGCGATACAAATGACCAAAGTGCACATTCTACCGACTGTGCACATGGCTGAGTGCCTAATAAAAATACTTTTCAATCAAATTATTTGATGAGAAAACAAAATATTTTACGGGAAGCCCGCTGTGGCTCGATCTATAGTAACATGGTGGCCGTTTTATCAACGCAGGCCAATTATTTTAGCCGTCCTTTTTCTAGGAATGGAAAACGAAAGCAGACACATTTTCCTAGATTGTAAGCTCGAAAGAGCAGGGCCCTCGATCCCCTCATGTTTTGCATTGTATTGGTATTGTTCTGTCACATGTTCTGTCTCCCTTTGTAATGTACAGCGCTGACGAACTATTGGCGCTTTATAAATACTGTATAATAATAATAATAATAATAATAATTTTTAGCATTCTAAATCAGCACTAATATCTGTCGTCTGTTTACCGTGCCATATGTATCATGACGATCGTTCTGCCGCTATATAGATGGGTCTATAGACCTACTGTGCCATATGTATCATGACGATCGTTCTGCCGCTATATAGACCTACTGCGCCATATGCATCATGACGATCGTTCTGCCGCTATATAGACCTATGCGCCATATGCATCATGACGATCGTTCTGCTGCTATATAGACCTACTGCGCCATATGCATCATGACGATCGTTCTGCCGCTATATAGATGGGTCTATAGGCCTACTGCGCCATATGCATCATGACGATCGTTCTGCCGCTATATAGATGGGTCTATAGACCTACTGCGCCATATGTATCATGACGATCGTTCTACCGCTATATAGATCCAAGAGACGGCCAGAGGCCGCAGGCACGACCCAAGAGACGGCCAGAGGCCGCAGGCACGACCCAAGAGACGGCCAGAGGCCGCAGGCACGACCCAAGAGACGGCCAGAGGCCGCAGGCACGACCCAAGAGACGGCCAGAGGCCGCAGGCACGACCCAAGAGACGGCCAGAGGCCGCAGGCACGACCCAAGAGACGGCCAGAGGCCGCAGGCACGACCCAAGAGACGGCCAGAGGCCGCAGGCACGACCCAAGAGATGGCCAGAGGCCGCAGGCACGACCCAAGAGACGGCCAGAGCCGCAGGCACGACCCAAGAGACGGTCAGAGGCCGCAGGCACGACCCAAGAGACGGTCAGAGGCCGCAGCACGACCCAAGAGACGGCCAGAGGCCGCAGACACGACCCAAGAGACGGTCAGAGGCCGCAGGCACGACCCAAGAGACGGCCAGAGGCCGCAGGCACGACCCAAGAGACGGTCAGAGGCCGCAGGCACGACCCAAGAGACGGTCAGAGGCCGCAGACACGACCCAAGAGACGGTCAGAGGCCGCAGACACGACCCAAGAGACAGAGGCCGCAGACACGACCCAAGAGACGGCCAACAGAATGCAGACATGACCCAAGAGAAGGTCAGAGACCGCAGACATGACACAAGATGATCAGAGTCTGCAGGAGATTGATGACAACATGTTATAGGAGCTGTAGCAGACTGGAAACGTGCTTCAGGAGACAGTCATAGATTGGAGACATGTTAGACCTGCTAGAGAGCGAGAAGTTACTAATACTATATAAGGGCAGCAGGGAAACACTAGTATCTCCATGGGCCACACAACAAGTGCCAAAAGACCACATGTGGTCCCCAGGCCACAGGTTGGGCACCAGGGTTCTAGAGAGATTCCACAGGTATGGTATATACAGTTACATTGGTCCAAGCTGGATATATGTAGCTATGTAAATATATCTTACCTGGAAATCTTCTTTAG